TTTTCGCAAAAAGGAAACCCAGCAAACCATAAAGCTTATCATATCCCTTGGAATCAAGAAATTATTTCCACTAGTCGGATAAGTCTTGCGAGTACATTGTGTACTCAGGGTTTATTTACCCCTATTGCACGTACATCTTGAGGAGTAGTCGTTGTGTGAAGGATTCTTCTGGTGGGCACAGACGGATCCTTGTATATTATTGATAGATGTTTCTTTTAATTTTGCTGTTTAAATTTTCACACTCTGAATTTGGTAGATGTTTCTTTTAATTTTGCTGTTTAAATTTTCACACTCTGAATTTGGTAGATGTTTCTTCTGGTGGGCACAGACGGATCCTTGTATATTATTGATAGATGTTTCTTTTAATTTTGCTGTTTAAATAATATATTTCTAAGAACTCTGGATGTATGAAATGGACTAAGTAATGTAAACTCATTCTCATTATTGGATCCTGAGGGGAAAATGTGGATTATTCGGGCTCTCCCTAGGGGTGTGCTCGACGGAATCCGCCCAATGTAGCTGGCTCTCGGGGTGCTTAGTGTCTAGTGGAAGACAAGCGCCTCCGTAAGTTCGTTATTTCGGGCGGTTCTGCCACATTGCTTCACACCAAGCTCGGAGGGGCGGAACCAGAAGGTCACCAAGACCTTCACCAAATTGTCAACAAGACCTCAAGTGCTTCAGTTCATCAAGATTATAAGGACACAACAATCCAATATTCAATCTATAAACTATAAAGCATCACTACCACAACAACACTTTTTAGAGACAGACTCTAAGCCTCTCCACAGGAAGACATAGAGGCCGACTCTATTACAAGGTATCTATAAAGCACTGATTTGCAGAGGTGACCATGAAGACTGACTCTAAAATTAAACACCAGAGGTGGATTCTTAAAACGCCTATCATACATACAAGTAGGAGTCCTAGTCCAAATAGCACACCTCTATTGAGTCCTATTACAGGTAGGATTTGAATCACCATATACAACAATCTCAATCTTGACTCTAATCATTTGAAGTCATCGTGCTCCACCAAGAATTCGCTCTAAATCAGCTCCTTTTTTATTTATGCTCCCACCTCGAGAGTGCCCCCACCACAAGGGCTCATGCACATTACCACAATGTGCTGTCAGTTCTAAGCTGCCTCAAGCTTCCACCTGAGATCTCCTTTGTTGTATAGTTTGGTTAACCACACCACCTTCTCCTATCACCCTCCGTGCCACAGTTTTGTACTGCCTCCAAGCCCCACCTGCTTGCTGGTACCATGTGGTTGGTCCCACCATGTCTTCCTTCTTCCAATAGCTTGCGGCTTCGCCTCACAACTGTAAGATTTTGCAACCGTCTTTGCAACTTTACACTTGACCGCAATTGAGATTTGAGTACCTATCATTGATGAGACGACTTCTTTCTCTAGATCAAGATTTTTACCAAATCTCCCCAAGGTGCACCACCCATAAAATTTCCTATCACTCGGTATCCTCCATTAATCTAGATGCTTTTCATAATTATTTTCCCTTTGCAACTAATTCGCATGACTCCACCTTGAAGCGATAAGCCACAACCTTAAAGTTCTAGCAACCACACAGATGTTAGATTCTTCTTCAAGCCCAAGATACACCAAACTCCCGTTAGTATGCAATGTGTTGCATCATGCATCTCCAATATAGTTGTTCCCACCTCAATGACTGCATACTCCTTGCAATCTGCTAAGTGAACAGTTCCATTCCCTAGGTGTACAGATCCTTTATCAAACATCTCCCTCACTGAACATATATATATGGAAGCAACTTCTTGAATCTAATATCCAATCATGAATAGTGCCTGGTTGACTAACGATAAGTACATCACTTTAATCCTGACATGCCATGAGCATGCAACACTCATAATCTTCAAACTTTGACTGTCCTTTATCATGTGACCCTCCTTGTCACATAGGTAGCATGTACCTTGTCCCTTGCTCTTGCCTTTCTTCTTCCCATGATTCTTGACTTTTCTTGCTCTACCTAAAACGGTCAAAGCTTTATCACCAGAGAATGAATATTCCTACGACTTCTTCAAGGACTCCACCTCTAATAGGTATGCAACTGTCTCATTGAAGTTGAGAGTAGTTTTTCCGACGAGAATATTCATCACTAACTGCTCCCATGATGGTGGTAATGATGAAGCCAGTATGACAACCTTATCATTTTCCTCAATTTTCTCATCCACACTAACTAGCTACGTGACAAGCTTGTTGAAGACATTTAGACGATGGTCGACAAATCATGTACCTTCCTCCATGAGTAACCTGAATAGTTTATGCTTCAGTACCCACCGATTTGTTAGCAACTTTGCCCTATACAACTCTTCTAGGCTCTTCCATAATTTCTTTGATGAATTCTCCATGATTACCGAGTATTTTACCTCATCGAAGAGACATAGTCAAATTGTACTGACAGCCTTCCACTCCATCACCTTCCATTCTTCGTCAGTTGTGTTGTTTACTTTGGTGCCGTCAAGAGCATCAATCAATTATTGTTGGACAAGAGCACATCTTTTACCACACATTGCCACACACTGAAATTTCCTTTGCATCAAATTTCTCTACTTGATTTCACATCCCTGACATCGTCTTAATTTTGTGCTTCCGCTCTGTCAACCTTCTCACAAAGTTAAATCAATCTGACATTGGCTCCAATACCACTTGTTAGAATTTGATAACCCTAGTTATGCGTAGCAGCCCTCGGATCTTTGAAAGGATGTTGCGAGTATGACACAAGCTTGCACCACCGTATCAAGAACGATTTAGTCGAATCGTGTTGAAAACTCTAAATGGCGATGTTGAAGCAACCACGACAAGATATTAGAATTTTGGCAAAGCCGATCGCAAATTATATTAGCACAACTCCAAAAAGAGTATAAGTGATTGTCGCTCTCTCAAAACCCTACTTGACCCTCTAGGACCCACTGATCCTTGCCCTATACAAGAATATAGTGCAATAGAATTACTAGCCTAATCCTCTTGAGCATTTCTAATTGCTCCTTATATGCCTTGGATGAGACCCATGTGTTGGCTTGGTTGATCATGTGGCCTCTACCCCTTGTTTATATTGTGCCCTCTAAGGCCCCCATATATACAAGTAGGAGTCCCTACTCCTAGTAGGATTCTACACTCAAGTTTTAGTAGAACTAGAAGTCCTAATAGCACACATCTATTGACTCCTATTACAAGTAAGATTTGAGTCACCATACAACACTAAAAATTGTAATATTGTTAAGTATTGCTAGAACAATTGTGAGATTATTGATTGTTGGTTTCATATTAATGCATTAGATTCCAGGGATCCAGTTTCAAGGCAATAGGAAATCAGAATAAGGTCGGCGCGATCGGGCTACTGTTGGTGGGACTGGAGTGTTTACTTTTTGCACAAGGTAATATTTCCATCCGAAGAATACACAGTTGGAATAAGGTCAAACATCAAGGAGATTCGTATCAGTGCATTTTGCTGCACGCCACAGAACATTCCAACTGATACAAAGGTGACCATAACCTTTTTTTTTTTTTCTTGATATGTGTATTTCCCTAGCTAGACTCATGGTGGAGAAACATTAAAGATGGATTTTGTAGTATTAAAATATTTATATTAGCACTGACAATAGTTAATCCATCACTTTGTAGCTTTCCAGGGCTAATACTATAAATCCTGTCACCACACAGTCCCTTGAGTATAATCGGAACTTGTACATGCACCAGACCATCGATGGACCATACCACAACCAAGTAAATATAGCAGATCCAAAGCAGCCTCTTTTGTTTGGTTACACCAATGTTCATGACTATTCCATATATGATGGTCTTGGCCCGAGTGCAAAGATTGTTGCACGTGCACAAGGCCTGCATACAGAGACTTGTATGGACGACGATGACTGGTTCCACTGGAGCAGCATAGTTTTTACCGATAAAAGGTTTGTACTAAATGTGCTCATCTTACTTCAAGCATAATTTTCAACATATTTCTGTTTTATTTCTATGCACTGTTCTGTCACTTATTTTTGGTTACTAAAATCCAGATTAGTACATTTTGTGGCATGCACATGGCTTGTTATGGACTTGATTTTATTTGGTGCATCTGTTAAACGCTTAACTTTATTGTTTCATGTGTTCCTGAATTATTAGGTTCGGGGGGTCTAGTTTAAAGGCGATAGGAAATCAAAATAAGGTTCAAGGTGAATGGGCTATTGTCGGAGGAACTGGTGTGTTTAGGTTTGCCAGGGCACTATCTCCATATATAGAATCCAAGGAGATTGGTTCTCAAACATCAAGGAAATTCGAATCAGTGCATTTTGCCCCAAAATAGGCCAGCAGTATTACTGAGAAAAAGGTGATATACACTATGTCTGAATACATAGTAAAAGCAATGTATCTAAAAAAGTCAAAATGCCTTATAATTTGGAATGGATATAGTATATCTCACTAAGGGAACGACAATTAATTTCCTACCCATGTCAAAAGGTCGACCTATATTAATCTCGAAGTAAATGTGCAGCACATTTTGAAAAAAAAAATCATAACTTGTACATATAAACTCAAATACAATTACAATTTATACACAAATTTTGATCTTGATGAGTCTACGCCTTTATAGTTTTATCAATGTTTTCCTTTAATAAAGTACTAATCCTGTTGCCGACAATAATCAATGTATGGATAAGTTCAGGTTCGGACTACAACGGCTTGAATATGTTGCTTAAGACAAATTCAGTTATCAGCATGCATTAGCTTACCAGGTTACTTTACCGGCCGTAAGCTGAGTACAAACGTTTTTTTTCTCATACAGGCATTTATTAAAAAAAAACGAGTACAAACGTTTTTAACTGCTATCTTATCTTAAGAGAAAGAGTACAAGTGTACAACGACCTATGCTTCAGGCTATTCTTACAAATGCAGGTGACACACCACACCAGTACAGGGTTACAAACAGTGGGCTACCAGATAACTAGATTACCGACAACTGCCCCTTTTCACGAGCTTTTCGGGCGAAACTTCCAAACCCGGATGTAGTTTTCGCCATGCGTGGTCACAATCTTCTTCATACCAACCGACAGGCTGGTAATCTGAGGGCGCAAGCGTCTCGGGATGCTGTCAACCTGTGCATCAGGGTCAATCCTGCGAACAGGTTTCTTCTCTATTTGCTGCCTAGATCTAGATGCGGCTTCTGCTGGGCGGTCAGCGTCCACGACAAGACATCGAATGGTTTCACCGGTTCTTTGGCACATAACACGAAGCACGCCGTCGATGCCTCCAACTACCAGCGTTGCCGTGTCACCAGGCAAATGACATGTGCTGTAGATGACGTTTGGACTGACTCTTTTTTCCCAGAGAGGCCTCAAAGTCCTGAGCAAGAACAACTGGGAATTAATGAACAGCTATGATGAAACTACAGTAATATTTTGCTTGACTCTGCACTGGCAGTTCAGCAAATGGATGTGTTGCAAACGTTCTTGTTGGCAGCATTTGTACTCTAAAAGTAACTTTTTCCCAAACATTTGTTAGATTGATAAGAAAAACAAACCATCATTTACAATGAGCAACTTGCTAACATGAATGGTTGTCCAATAGAAGTTCAATACAAATAGTAGTTAGGTAATGGAAAAACTCTATCAGTCAAGTAAACTCAACAAAACATATAATTGAACTGTAAAGTAATATGACCTTTTATAATACTTCAAAGTACTATCACTCACAGGGGAATTAAATCCTTTCTATCAAAAGCTGCAACAAAAATTTAATCTATAATTACTGGCAACTGTTTATCCAATTATGCAAACTTCAAAGTGAGAGGGAATTGTAATTCAATTGGACAAACAGATATGTAATTCGTTTCTTTTGGGATGACTGCTGAAACAATGCTGAAATGTCCATGGTTCATTGATATTTGATACAGCCTTATATATTGGCAAACTGACAACCAATGAGTATCATTGTTACTAACCTTAAGTCCCAGCAATGAGCATAACCAGCCGATGACCCAGCAAATATCATGTGTGAATTTGTGCAGAAAGATAAGGATCTTATTGCTGAAATAATGAAAAAGAAAACCAAAACTTAGTTGTTGAAATCACAACATTATGTTACCATGAGTTTTGATTAGTTACACTTCAAAATATCCAATGAATGATAACCAACTGCCACTAAAAAAATTGATCTACCAAACCAAGATTAGATTATCTGTATTTTTAGACAATTAAAAATTAAAATAACATAAGTAAGAGAATACGGATTAGGCATATATACAACATCACTACTTAATAAATGAAAGAACATTTATATAGGCACACAACAGTTCTGAAAAGTAAAAATACTGTACTGTTTCTTTGGTTTGACATTTGGGACACCAGCAATGTTGTATAGGAAAGCCAAGAGAAAAATGGTATATGTTAAATTGTTGAGCTTTGAAATAATATATTCTTTTGACATCTAGCCATAAATATATCTTTTACCTCTTAACAAATTGCATATTGTGATTAAAATTTTGATGTCCTATAAACGGCCAGCAATCAGAAAAGTTCTGCTGTTACCTTGAAATGAAACAAGGGAATGAGACAAGCATCATAGGAATTTGTTTTAAGTTAACAAGTAACATCTATGGGATCAGGGCTATAGCTAGAAGGAACACCTTAAATGGTGTTACAAAAGTTCCATATTATTTGGGTGTGGAAAATTCTAGGCCTTAGTCATTGCTCATCCTTAAGAGTCATCAACTAATAACCATGCTTACGTAGTTGAATGCTTACCCAATGGTGCATAAGCTGATTTCAGAACACCTAACTTCTGCCCTGAGGTTTGATCTGCGATAGCTACAGTTCCAAATGTCGAACCACCAACAATCAGCTGGTCATCTGTTAATGCCAAGCATGTCACAGGAGAGGAATGAAGCCTGTAGTACAAATATTAAACAGGCATCAATTCCACGACACAGTAATATACAAAACAGAACTATACATTAACTTCGAGATACAAAATTTCTTTATGTAGAAATATTAATAATTTCTTTGTTTTCACTACTCTTACAATTACAGCTATTTGATTATTCTCAACTTTAATGGTGTGGAAAATAAAGTTCGCACAAGTTTTAAAATTACTCAAATCTACATATTTGCAATGCTGCCAGCTGAATGAACTGAAGCTTGTTCTCATGGAACATAAATGCTAACAGTTGAAAAGGAATAACACTTGCCGATAAATGCTTGAGCAACTCCTGCTGTACATATCATATATATACAAAGGCTCGACCATCCTCACAACCAATTACAACCTCTGGATCAGCATAACTACACCAGGAAATGACATGAGGTACATAAATGCTAATTAAAAAATAAAAACATCATTTTCTAGGCTAATCAAATAAAGGTGGGATTTGCTAAAGCTTATGCATGACTCCTCCAGTGCAACTGGATACTTTCAAGCACAACTTCAAAAAATTGGTAATAGGTGGCTAGCAGCTAACACCCAATCTTGTAATTAATCTGAAAAAGTGAAACAAATCAAACAAGTCTCCTCACCTCATGCATAACCCATGATTGAATGAGGCTCCACCAGATTGAAATATGCTTCTTGGTTCACTGCGTCTCCATATGCAAATCTGGGAGCTAGTTAAACCTACAATCTTCACAGAGCATTCAAAACAAATTTGTAGTAGGTAAATAAGGAGTTAACACTTTATTAGAAAAGACATGATATGGCTGAAAATTTTAAAACAAAGCTATTTCAATAAAAACATCAGTGTTCAGTACATCTTCCATTAACAAAATAAAAGTCTGGATGGTATGCTACAACAAATGGAAATACAAACTCACCCAGTTTACGTGTTATACTATTTGTTCTTTTGGAAGAACAGATGAAGATTGCGACATATAAATAGGTGATGCACAGGTAACGTTGGGTCTTGCAATCAAACACAAAGACCACAGCATGTGATACCCAAATAACAGAAACTGGAAGCACACCAACAGTGATTACCTTATTTTCATCAAAATCAAAGTCGACTAATGTTTTAGAATTTGGCACATTGTATTCATTCATAAATTTGCAGCTTTCAGCAGACCAAAGTCGGAGAATCTGGCAAAAATCATGTATATATATTCTTAAAACTATGAACCATTGGTGATGAGAAAAAAGATTAGGGACTGAGAGAAGAAAATGATCAATTGAAGTCATAGTCAATTATCGAAACTTTGATTGATCAATAGGGCAAGCCAACTATGCCATCCACAATAGCATAATCATGTTATGTGTAGTTATGGTATTGTCTGGTAGAGCCATATTTTACACCATTACTTCAAAAAGAATTTGCTAGGCATCCTACATGTAGACATTTCTAAATATAGATGGGTTGTTGCAATGTCTACAGTGTCTAGCTCAATAATAATAATTAAACAATAACTGTAATTTACTTACCATAACTCCAAATTAAATTTGATACTCATGTTGATGAAAACTATTAAGAACATGATATGATGCAGTACTCACCTTATCTCCAACTCCAGTTAAAATTGAACCACCCTTCATACGGCACAAGGTAGCCCTGAAATAAAAAATAAGAAACTGAAAGAAAACAAATATAAATATTGAGCCACTACTCATATGATGTACAGTACATCAGAAATATAGTGTGATTTGTCATAGTAGAGAATATAAAGACATGATGTTTGATGACCTAATGAATGGGAACCCCTGTCATTTTACACAATTATATGAGGTATAACATGAGTGTTTACCGTATTGGGTGCCCAATCCACTGAAAAGCTTCAGCAGGTCCTCTAGAGAAAGAGGATGCATGCTCATCCATGGCAAGCATCTCAAAGTAACTTTTTACAGAAACGTTAGAGCTTGAACCTCTTGCTGATGGATTCCTTTTGTAATACAGATCCCTCATGAGATGAGCTGTTTCAATTATCCTATTCCTATAAAACCATGGAGAAAAACATACTGCAAATGTTAATCAACACAGATACATAGCCTCAGAGTTTTGAGAACACTCGTGCAACAATTGAAACAGGAGAAATGCATGAAACAGAAAAGGTCAAACAAAAAACATGGTCTATAATACTCTATCGCAAAAAATTATGGTATAAAAATTGGTACCAAGAATCAGAAATAGCATCCTTATTAATACATAACACAAGTTAACCTCCTCAAGGTATCATGGTTCAGATCAGGATCTGAAATAAACGGTGAGACCAAAACACATCTCGGAGAGCCACAAGCCTATGGCTACACCTACTTTGTAGCACAAGAGACCTAATATAATGGTTCAGGTGTGTTCTATTGCAGCAAATAGGTTACATCATAATAGCACATAAAACACAGATAGAAAGTAGTCCAGCGTGGTGAGTAGCAAATAATTCCAATAAAATAAAATAACAAATCTTTGTCTATCATGAGTAGCAAATAATCACACTAAAATAACAAACCTCCGTCTATGATGAGTAGCAAATAATTCCACTAAAATTACCCAGCTTCCTGGTGAAAATGGTACCCCTTTTACCATCAAAATTAGTCTTTTCCCCACTCCAAAGAAGATAGAACTGGAGTAGAACAGAAACCCCCGAATGAGTTCACTAACAGCAGGCACACAGATTTACAGTCAAAATTATGGATGAACTCGAAACAAGATATCGTATAACGAAGGGACCTGATTGCAGCAACCAGGCCGACCACTGAAGGGAAAGGAAAAGGGAAAGGGGGAGGAGGAGGAGCTCACCATGAGCCGCACACGGCGGAGCAGCGGGCGAGGTCGAAGTGGTTGTCCAGCCGGGAGAAGACGGACCGGAGGGTGTCGTCGTTCAGCGACTGCGCCGTCGACTCGGAGCCAGTAGCCGCGCCGACGCCTCTGCGGCGCTTGGGGACTACGCTCCCGCTCTGTATCTCTTTCCGGCCGGTTGGAGACCGGACCAGAGAGGACTTGTGGACAGGACAGCCGGTGGCTGGAGCCGCCGCTTTGAGGCTTCAGCTGTTTTATATTGGGCCCTTGTCGGGAGACTTTAGTCGCTCTCCTGTCGGACCGATATTAAATATAGACTAATTATGAAACTAAATGTATTGGTTAAAATTAATTTATAAGGCGAATTTATTAAACATAAATAATTCATAATTTAACAATACGGTGCTACAGTAACTATGTGCTAATGACGGATTAATTAGGCTTAATAAATTCGTCTTGCGGATTACTGATGGATTCTGTAATTTATTTATTTTTAGTATCCGAACACCCCATGCGACACCTCATGTAACATCCGATGTGACACCTCTTAAATTTTAGCCACTGCATCCAAACACCCCTAGAAACAGAGTTTCTTTCACAAAGAAAAATAAAGAAGGTTTCTCCTCCGAGTAACTCCTAGAGCTTCGTAAAAAAGCGCACACACACACTAGGTAAACCAATAATTTTTAGTAAGTTAATAAAATATAAGTAGCAACTTTAATTTATCCTACTCTCTAGTTGTTTTCTGTACTAACTTCTAGTAAAAACAAAAAAAAGGATCCCACAACTCTCTTTTTACATCAACTCACCTATTTGTGTGTCATCGCCATCCCTAGATTGCCCTGTCGCTAGCCCATGAAGCCAGGAGTGGCCGCCCCTAACCACCCACCGCCGGCCTTCAGGTGACTAAAAACGAACCACGGCTGACCAGGCGACCCCCGGCCACTATCAGCCAGCCCTAGCCAGGCCAATGACATCCTCGACTTGGCCAATGCTAGTTGTGCCCGATCATTGGTGGCTATCTATCCACATATCAAACTACAAATCATCAAACAACAAACTATTTCATATGCAAAGCAAATTGCAGTAGAAACTGAGAGCTTCATAGACCAAAACGTGTATACATGTGTCGGTGTTTCATGGACCGACTAGTAAATTTAGCGCCGCGTTGCTCTAGGAGTCGATGGTAGCACTTGAGACACGGGGAAATTTTGCTGGTTTAGGATAGAGCCCTACGTCCAGTCTCAAAGGGGTTCGAGTTCATGTTCCTCGGTTCAAGTGCCCTAAAGGCTTACAACGGGGGCGCTCGTAAGCGTGGATGCGGGAGTCAGAGGATTCAAGATAGCAGAAATTCTATCCTCCCGAGAGTCCTATCTAGAATGAAGGCCCGGCTCCCCTTATATACTCTTTGGGGGTCGAGTGACAGTCGAGAGGGAAAGGTGCTCCCGACCTGAGTGGTCGAGAGCCCGAGGGGAGGGTGGTTGGCGAGCTTGGTCTGTGGGTCCTCTACGTCTTGTTCATGCTTCTGTTGCACGTTCGAGTATCGTCACAGGTTCTTGCTCCCCGCATTAAGGTATGGTGTACCATAGCGGCACATGTGAAACGTGGGTCCATAGTGCGTGCATCGTGGCCTTTGTCCTGGCACCCGCCATCCTAGGTGAGGCATCGTGGCACCAGCGCGTGAACAGAGCAGCCATCCAATGCTGACCGTCGGCCTCTTCAGTCGTGGTGATGCCTCTCCCAGCCACATGCGATCGGGTCGGGGGTCCTCTGGCCTGACTGGTTTCTGAGGAGACTAGCTCCTAGTTATGAGACTGAAAGCCCTAGTTTAGTTTGGATAATTGATAAAACTTATTTGGACTAACCCTATGCTCTAAGTGTGGATGTGAGATAGGTTGGTCCAACCCAAGTGATGGAGCTAAGTGGCACTCATGGATGGAGATGGCCACATGAAATGAAGATCATGGTGATAGTGTGGACACATGTTTTGTTGATCAAGACACTTAGAGAGTGTGATCACATTTAGGATAGATGGTCGTACTATTAAGAGGGGAGCTCTTATCGGACAACTCGATCATCTAGTGCCACTAGGTGTTGGAAAACTTGCATATGCATTTTAGGCCAAGTGCAGAATCGGTGAGAAGTGATTAACTTTTGAAAAATGATTGTGAAAATGCTAACACACTTGCACGTGATGGTGAAACACTTGGAGTGTTAGCACATTTGTAAAGGTGGTGACAAAGGTGAAGAAAAGGAGACAAAACCGAGTGTGAAGTGGTACCTTGGGGGCACCGCCACCCTCTGTCTGGTGGCATCGCCACCCCTAGGGCGGTGCCCACCTGGCAGTGTCCCAAGAAGCAGCGTGGGCGCGGTCACCGCCATGTCCGATGTTCACTGCCTCGATGAGGGCGGTGCACCGCCTGGTCACCGCCACTTTTATCCAAAGAGCAAGGGAACCGGGGGTGGTCACTAGATAGGGCACCGCCACCCTGTGTCCGGTGCCACCGCCCTATTTTTCAGAGAGGGGGTCTCGGGTGACTTGGTCACCGCCCTCCCTAGGGCGGTGCCACCGCCGCCTTCCGGTGCCCGCTCGGCTAGTCAAACTAGCCGTTGAGTCGACCGTTGGGGGGCACCTCCACCCCATGTCCGGTGCCACCACCGTCGTGTCCGGTGGCCTCATAGAAACCAGTTCCAAGGGGTAACGACTCTTTTTCGTTGTGGGGCTTATAAATAGTCCCCTTGGCCAGCCATGGCCACTCTCTTGGAACCCTAAAGTGCTGAGATTTCATATTGTGAGCAAGCTAACACACTCCACTCACTTCTACACTTGATTTCATCAGCTTGAGTGAGATTGAAGAGCCTCTAGTGCATTGCTTAGTGATTTAGCATCTTGTGGCACTAGGTGGGCGATTTGGGCTGGTGGAGTTCTTGTTACTCTTGGTGTTTGCCGAAAGCTAGACAGCCCGGTGATTGGTGGATCATTGAGCGGCTATTGGTGATTGTTGCCAGCTCCGATCATTGAGCTTGTGAGGGGTTCTTGTGCCTTCCTTGGCGGAGTGCCAAAGACAACTCTAGTGGATTGTACGTGGCTTGTGGATCCTCATCTTGTGTTGGTTGTGCGGCACCCGGTTGCGAGTTAGGCGTGTGATGCCTATTAGCGCGTGAACCTCCAAGTGAGTGAATCGCTACAATAGGGACTAGCTTGCCGGCAAGCAAGTGAACCTTGGATGAAAAATCATTGTGTCATCATTTGTCTCCTTGGTATTCTTTGGTATTCATTGATTGATCACTTGCCACGGCGGTATATCTCCTCTACCATTCTCTTGCATTACTTTGTGTATTTACCTTGTGTAAAGCTTGTGGTAGTTGTAGCTAGTTGTGTAGCCTAGCTTCTTAGTTGTAATTAGTTCCTAGCTAGCTCAACTAGTGTAGAGAGTAGCGACATAGCCCTTGATTGCCTAGTGATCATAATTGACTAGAATTGTTGGTAGGTGGCTTGCATTTTTAGTAGGCTTGCGCAACACTTGCTTCGCCTCATAATTATCTAACCTCTTGGCTTAGTGTTGTTATAGATTTTTTAATAGGCTATTCACCCCCCTCTATCCATTAGAACCTTTCAAAGACCCATGCCCATGGTCATTATGGCCGTACTCCTACTTGTCGAGGCAGGTATGGGTTGGGCGATCGTGACGCCGCTCTGTCACGGTGTAGTCCTTGACTTAGTGATGGGGCGGTTCGAGGGGTGACGCTTCACCTCAGGACCCTATGGGTCCAAAGGGTGGTCGATGCACGCCAAGACCCTACGGTCCATTGGGTGGTGGTCCTTCTCTGTCCTAGAGGACTGTGTGCGCATCCTGTCAGGGCAGATATATTTAATGCGCCAACCACCTCTAGTCCTTTTCATACCTGGTTGGTCGAGGCCAAAGGTGGTCGAGGCGGCTGCGTGCTACATGGTTGGGGGAAGAGAGTGGTCAAGGCGGGCCACGGATGTTGGACCGTGGCCAGCTGGGCCACCCGAAGTGCTTCGTAGGCTGCGCCAATGGACACAATGGGTATCGGCCCCCGACAACGTGAATTATTTATAT